GATGATACTAGTAAAGTATATAATTGCATTTCCTATTTAGTTCTTAAGCTTTTTATACACTAAAGAATTGAATTTCCTTTGATAGCAAAATCAATTTTTCATAGAGCCAAAGTTCTTGAAGGTTCCCAATCGCTACTACATTAAAAGTTTAATTATTCTAACTTTGTACTTCAATAGCCTAATTCTAAATAGTAATTTGATAAAAATTATAATTTATTATAAAACTATCTTTTTTTTACTTCTAATATTTCAGGATTACCTAAATACAAATATATCATTTTCAAAATTTCTAAGCAAGGACTTGAATCTTCATAACATCACTCAGATATTGATTGAGAATATAATCTATCTATCTATCTATCAATCTATCTATCTATCTATCTATCTATCTATCCTATAGCTTATCTGAAAACATATCCATTTTTGGATATAAATAATTTGCTTTCAATTAAATTTAAGTTACCCTTCTTTTTTTAAAACTATTTGCACCTATTGAAGAAGATCAAGTAAGTACAGCAAATACAGCAAGAACAGCAAGTACAAATAATCCTTAATTTGATATCATAAATACTCTAAACAACTAATGATCTATAATTTTCATGAAGAAGCATTTCATAAATGCACTCCATATGAAATTTGTAAAGAAATATTCTAAGCTACTTCATTTTTATCAGTTTAGATATTTCTAAACATTCAAAATGTTCATAAAGAGCTCCTTTAAATCTCTTTTAAGAAGAATTAGAATAAACTTCTAAATAGTATGTTTAAGATACTCCTTATACTTAATGCAAATTTTTGAAAATGGAAAAGTAGATAAAGAAAAAGGTGTGACATGTGAAGATAATTGATAAGAATATGCCTAAGAATGAAAAAGTTCATGAACATAGAATTAAATAGAAACGATCTGTGGCATTTAATCTTGAAAATAATGTTATTCATCCAAAAGTAAATCATTGAAGATGAGTATTTAAATTTTACAGAAATGTAGCTTCATTTTTCAAGTAAAATCAGATATTTTTGGTAATTGTATATATGGCAGATTCTGATTCTGAAGTAGAAGCTCAAGAGGATGAGAGTGATGATTACATTACTTAAATGGTTAGTTAAACACATTCTCCTAAACCATTAAAGAAGAAGTTGGTAAGAAAAAAATTACAATAGAGAGAGTTGAATTTAAAGAAATAGTATTTTTTATATGATTAATTCATTAATTATTTTTAAATAAATAATCTTTATAGGGGAAGGGAATTGGGGAACAAAAATATTAAAAGATTTAGAGGAACAAGATAATGAGTAAATTAAACTTAAGACAGAATGATTCTGTTAAAACAAAAGAAGATTTTTAAAATTGTTTAAAAGTTTTAAAGAAGATGAGGTCTTGATTTCAAATGATAATTTTCATATAAAAATCTACAACACATGTCATTTTTACCAAAATGTTGTTCAGTCTTCATAATTTAGACTTTAGATAATCAGATATAGCAATAGGGAAATAGAGTGGCAATCAACAAATAAAATGATTATTAATTACTATTTAAATGGTTGGATGGGAAAGATTCTTAATGAAAAGAGTTTTTTTTTAAAGTATATAATTTATAAACCCAATTCAATGACAATTATTTCATAATAGTTAAGTTTTATTTATTTCTGAAAAATTCGACAGTTGATGCTGCAAAACTTACTTTCCGTTATAAATTAGAAATATTCCATTATTTCTTTTTAAGATGAAAATTCGCTTTAAAAAATCCTTCAATGAAATAGACTAGCATATAGTTTATATTTAATACAGTAATGAATTGGAGAACAGGAAAATAGGTTAGAGAACGTTATTTGAACTAATTATAAGGAACAATTAATTAAGAAAAGAGGACTGAAGAGGTAGATAAACTGATATTAAAATTATATAAGAAGTTTGGAACTAAATGGAGCTATATTTCAAGTTTTTTAAATGGAAGGCCTGTAAATTTCTATTTATAAATTCATAGGAAAATATGGTAAAAAATTGATTCTACACTAATCTGAAGAGAAGATATTAATGTGATTTAGGAGATTCAGATGATGAAGATTTTGAAGAAGAATCTCTTAATTCTTCTGATGAAGATAAAAGTAAAAATTAAAGAAGAAGAAAACTTTAGAAGACTTCAAAAGAACCATAAAAATAAAAAAGGTTTAAGTTTCTGAAGAAAATGTAGAAAATTTCTAGAGAATGACAAGATCAAAAAATTAAAAATAAAATGATGATAGTTTAAAATAAGATAGTCCTAATGAAGATTAAAATAATGAAAATAATTCAGGTATAGTTTCCCTTTTATTTAGGATTATAAAATATTACAACTTATCCAAGTAATAATATTCCTTAAGTAAATTATATAAATATAAAGGAAGAAAATTAATTAAAATGTGATAATTGTAATAATAATAATTCTTCAATTAATTAATAAATAATTCCTTAGATCAACTTGATTCCAACTACATAAATAAACCCATTTAGTTTTAATCCTTAATTCCTTTCATAATAACAGAATGGTTTTGCTTGTCAATAAAATAATATGCCAACCATACCAGATAATTTCATAACATTATAATATAAATAACCTAAATTTG